ATAACCATTATAAGATGGAAACACAAATATAAATGCACAAAAATAATCGGGCCGGGGTCAAATCTCGAAGGTAAGAATTCTATCAAAGTTAAATTATTTTTTTGGTATGAATTCAAAGTTAAATTATGTGACGTCGTCGTCAAGCTCATTTTTTCCTTCTGCTTGACCATTTCACCAAATTTTGTTTCTTTGTTGTATTTTAGTCAATAACTAAAAAGACCTACGTACCCATGTGTATTTCCTGTTTTAAAGTTTGATCCATCAAATTCAAATTCATTGACATCTTAAAAGATACACTCTTCTTTTGTTCATTTGACCGATTTTCTTATCTTTAACATATTTTCGGTCGTAATCTTTAGCTACACAATGTAATATTCATATAAAATAACAAAAAAAAAGAAGCTTATTCAATAATCAGGCATGTATATCAACTTGTTAGTGAACATGAACAACATGAAGAAATATAATGCGATAGAGGGAGAAACTGGGAAAAAGTTGTTATTCACATTAATGAGTTTGTTACATAAGATTCCTCTCTTATAGAGTGAAATGATTCTGTTTACAATATAACCGAGATCTTAACTTAACCAGACTAAACCAACCCACAATATACTCTACTACAACTCAATGACTCATGGTTATTTAATGGTCAAATGACTACGTTACAAAATCCTTTAAAATTTCGATCCAAATTCTTGTTCATATTTTGTTCTTAGTCCGTTTGTTCCTTATTTAAACGATGTTATACTACTTTTGTCTTAGTTTAAGATTTGATACTTAAATTTGAATTTTACACATTTTTACTTTACAAATCATAACTAAACAAATGTGAGCACGCATCGCACGTGCAACGAAATATGTCTCAAAAAGACAACATTTTGTGGATTGCAAACTCTCTTGGTTCCTCTCTTACTTCCGTCTCGACCTAATTAATAAAGGGGATCCCATTAATAAAGTGATTTCTAAGAACATTATAAAAGACAGTTCGTGAAAATTTTAATAGTCATTCACAAAAAAAAAATTAAAAAAAAATTAATAGTTGAGATCAGGAAACAATGCTAGTTGTGAATTGTTGTCAAGGGGTCCATACAAAGTGCTTTTCTGAACATATCCTTAAATAATTTGTTTAACACCATAATGGTTCTTTAAATATTTTTTTTTTTTGCTAAACAAAGTTCTTTAACTATTACAGTGAAACTTTTTGAGATTTAGAACTAGTTTTCATAGTTTTATTTTAAAAAATTTAATAGTAACTATATTCCGATTTAGAAAAATAAATCATGCGTCCCAAAAGGAATTTGAACCCAAATCATAAAGAAACCAATCCTTTAATCAAACCGTGATATATATAATCTGTTTTTCAAAAACC